AAGCTAATGCCTTTTTTAGGTTCAACTTTCCCCAAAACGGGACAGACCGTTACATGCCATTACGTGCTTACCCTTCAAAACGGGAAAAAGGTCTTTTTATATGAATCTTAATTCCAAGCCTTGCTGTTGCTTTTCTGTACTCTATCATTTTTCAGGTTGACAGCTCACGGGATCGCGGATCACCATTTAAGTTTAAGATCGGCAAAGGTGAAGTAATCAAGGGTTGGGATCAAGGTGTTGCTCAGGTAACAGAATCCTAATGTATTCATTTGAACTTTTACGTTTGTATCTGCATTCATTTACTTCCTTCAGATGTCTGTAGGGCAACGTGCCAAACTGACTATCTCTCCTGACCTCGGTTACGGTGCTGGAGGTGTTCCTGGAGCTATTCCTCCTAACTCGACGTTGATCTTCGATGTTGAATTGCTTAGCACAGCATAATCTATCGGAAACAACTCCTCTTTGATTGATCTTACTTTTTACGAGCGTTAAATCTTCTCTTTAAATTATTTGTCGTAGTATAAATTCGTTATGTGAGGTTTCAAAAAGGGGACGCTGAGAACTTCTTCAAAAGAAGCAGGTGGAATTAGCTTTATTGTCCGTCATAGAATTTTTACAAGTTTAAGCATCATGTACACCGGACAGTTGGTTTTTCGGCTCTTGGGATCTCCATTTTTGCGTTTGCTTGTCATCGAAACAGAGCATCTGCATTATTGTGAATGCTTTTTCTTAGTGCCGCGTTACCTCTGTGAATGTGCATAGTTTCAGAGGCGCGCTCACTAAAGAGGACACTTTTCGCAAATTTGTAGACCAGTGCTTTACCTCTCCTTTGGAGAGGCTCGCAGTGGCACTTTTTCGGAAACCTAGATCCAACACTCAAAAACAGTAATTCAACACTTTGATGTAGTACTCTTCCTTATCCAGAAGCCATTATGTGCATCTGTGCTGGAAGTATTGAAGTTCTGATTTTACCTCTCGATGGCTTTTTGAAGGAAAAGGGCGCGGAAGCCATTTACTAGACCGCCAAATCCTTCCATAAAAGCACGAAATGAAGAACAACTTCCAAGTTTCTACAACAAGATTGCTCATCTTTACATGCCGTTTGCAGTTGACATGATAACGCTTGATAGCTGCTCTTTGACTTCATCAATGCAAATGAACTTATTTCTTGACAGAGGAAGACACACACATGCGGACAAACTACGCAAATTATTATAATTAATTGTAGTTCTATTTATAATATGGCTGAAAAGCAAGTTTGCATTGTGTGCTTTTTTGAGTTTAGAAGAAAATTCTTCATTCTTCGAACAACCCAAGGTCTAAGCACGTTTCTTTCGAATTTTTGACATTGTGGCTTCCACAGCGGCTCTAACACATTCTTGGAATGTCTTACAAGAGAATACTCAGCGACTTGATTCTGAACCAGAACCA